AAGTCACATAGGTATACACATCTATATATCTGAAATTAAGCTTTCACTGAGACATGCTGGAAAGACCTACATATTACTCACCCATTACCTACATATTCTATAGTTATTACTTGTTTATACACAGCTTATTATTTCTATTTAAGGCGAAAAATAATAATAATTCTATTACACTGTACATTGTACTGAAATATCAAAGTAGTTAATACGATTTACTGTGCAATTTAGAGCAGAAAATTTAAAACAAAGTCTATTTATGAAAAGTACACACATATAAGTTCATTTTTACTGAAACTAAAGGTATGTAATACTAACAAAGTACACAGAAAGTACTACAAAGTATAAGTACATTTTGCTATGTTAGAATTGCTATTTGCTTTGAGTTCCGTTTTAATTTTCAGAAAGACTCTATAAATATATGCACCCACGCTAAACTTCATAATGAAAGGTTCCGAAGCTTATTTGCTATAACAAGCGTACATAACCCAATTATCGCTACAATTAAGTTACTAAATTATGTGCTAAAGTGCGTAAAATAGATGTCAATCAAATTTGCAACGTTTTAAATATTTTCACATAGAAATTTATCTAGCAATTATAAGCGCACATTTTACATTAACATGCAGATATGAAATATCTATTTACGACACAGACATTTACGCTTATAAAGAAACACACCCAATTATGTCATATGGCAAGCCACAATTGAGTATGGCAAGGACAACTACTGGAGTTCACACCAACTACTCCTATTTCCAACAACCGTTCTGTCATTGTCAACAGCTTCATTGCATTGGAAGTGGAAATTGCTATTTAATACTTAAAAATCGATAGGCGGCCATATTATTACTAACAGGTACCACACCAGAGTGCATTGTTATAGGTACAGAATTGTGAAATGTGTACAATGCTTACGATATTTTCAATATTTTTGTACCCTTGGCACTCCTCTTGAACCTTGCACCGAATCGTATCTAACTAAATAAATACTATATATTCTAATCATTTCAAAAAGAAAAAGGATATCAGTCACAGCGTGCGCCTATCCTGTTTAGTAGTATACATTTGCAATTTAAAATATCAACGTAATTATCATCACACCAGGGAGAATGACAAGAAGCGTTCCTAATGAGTCTGTGTTGACTTGTATTCCTTGTATCCAAACAAAATTATTACATCAAATTGTATCTATTACGACACAAGCTCAGCAGATACACACTCTAACAAATACAAGTTGGTGTAGAAAAATGTAGTAAGCACAGCAGTAAATTGCTGTGTTGGCTCACATCTTACCCTCTTCCATTGGGGAAGTTAAGAAGATAATTTATAGTGTCATTTGTGAAATGATGTATAAAATAAGCCTTAAAATAGGCAAGCACAACGAAATGATACCGAAATTATTAGCAAGGTACTCTGTAATGTTTGTAGAATGACACGAAACAGAGCAAGTGGTGCGATAAAATTATTTGGGTTAGAAAATTGAATTTCGGTTCTTTTCTATTTTATATAAGTGAAAATTAAGTCAATTTAAATTTTGTTATTCGACTTTCTAATTTAATCATAAGTAGTTTGCTTGTATCCAAATAGAACCGATGGCTCACTTGAAAATGTTTATCAAAATAAAATAAAAATATCGGTTAAGCTAGGAGTAGAGTAGTTAAGAGTATTTACCATTTTGATGCATAATAATTTGAATACATAATAAAATAACTGTAGATTAATGTCTAATTTAAGATTAAACTATATTCTTTTGTTATAGTGGTTGACGATTCTCAGCGTAGTTCAATTGTATGGATCATAGTAGTCAGTAAATGTAACATAAGTAATGCTTGCTAACTACTGTATCCAGTAGTGGCTAAATCTCAGTAGCTTCTGTGATTCAACCTGGACTTTGTTATAACATTATCTCTATATAGCTAGTATGCAAAGTCAGACTGATTTTTATATTTCCTCCTTAAAGACACAAATTTATTACCCTGTATTGATAACAGTGCCGAGGCTTAAAAAGTCTTATTATTATGACCAAAGTTTAATCGAAATTTCATCTCCTCCTCTTATATTCTTAATTTTTAAATTACATTGAAAACAACAACAATTTTATATTTGATGTGACCATGACTGTCTGCATAACATGGCTCTTATTCTTACTTAGACACATTAATTTCTTATTGTTGAAATATAGTATAATTATTTCAACATCGAATATATTAATACAATATAAAAAATTAATTTTAAAATGTTTATGAATTTATTTATATATAATTTGTTTATCAACTTTAACAATGATGTCTTTCTATAATCTAGTGCTGATAAATTAGTAGAGATAAATTATTTATTATTATTATTATTATTATTATTATTATTTATTCCATAATTCATTAGGAGCTTAAAGTTAAAATAAATCGTTAATACGATAGAATAATATATAGTAGTTTAGCTTATTATATATATTATTCTAGATATATTATATATTAGAATAATATCTATATGGTGGACGTAAACTAAAAAAAACTCTTGCGACTGATCATCAAGCCACATTCAGTGATTATCTGTAATTGTGTATAAAGTAAAACCTCATTCGGTATAAATATATACTTATATAAAAGGAATCATTGTTTCAAAATATCTTGTCAAAAATACAAATAAAATTTAAGACACAGAAATTATACTGGCTTAACAAAAATTAGAAGCTTAGTTTGGAAAACAAGATCTTGATTTATAATTAAGTTATAAGTCCATCCGTTCCTCGAATATAGAGAATACCATCGGTGCTCCATGGTATTTAAGAAGTGTACATATTTATAACAATCTAGGGACTCCAAAATATATAAAAGCAATAGATGAATATCGTAATACTTCAATATGCTAATCCTACGATATAACAGCTACTACCTGATTTTTGGCTTGCTTCAGATTGAAACGTACAACACTCATACCCACATGATAGAATGATATCGTAAATTTTAATATTGATTAAAATTCTTTTATTTACTTTATAATTTTTTGTTTCATTGTTCCATCTATTTGTTTTACCAGTAAATTATAATTTGAATACAAGGTATTAATTTCTATTAAAAATATAGAGTTTCTTTTTATTTATTTTATCAATTTCGATCTAGAAAGACCAAATTCTATGAAAATTATATTAAAAAATTTGAGGTATCAAAAGGAAGTGTCATATATGTGTACACAGTACAAGAGCTATTATTGAAGAGTGAAACTATATATATATTTATATTTTTATATATATATGCCAACATTGGTGTTAAATTTGTGTTAGAAAGTTTTGTTATACTCATTCTGACAGAATAATAAGTTTCTAAAAGGGTAATACAAAAAAGCAATGTGCGTCCTAATATTCCACAAATAACTAAAAGCAAATGGACTAAGTAACGGACAAACGACAGTTAGATAGGGAGTGATGATAAAGAAATAGTGAGTCACATCACCACTCATAGATATGGGGACGGACGATTCAAGTTGACCGTGTAGACAGTGACATTGGGAGGGAGACAATATATTCGACAAGATTCAAATACATGGTACGAGATTTTTTTTTGTTGAGGTTGACTGTCTAATACTGATTCTAAGACCCACTCCCAAAACTGGCGAGAATTCCGGGCTTACCAGCGTGACAAGGAGAGCATCTGAAGACACAAATTTAACACCAATGTTGACATAACAATGTATATGTGTAATATGTATGTAATATGTATATAATAAATAATATGTATGTATAATAAATATGTACGCTGATCTTATACATACTAAGAATAAATATAAAGTGGATATTGGCTTCAGATGTTTTACTTCCGTTTTGATAATGCGTCTATCTCAGTATTAAACTCAGTCCTTAAATATTTTATATCAGTTTTACTAATATTTTTTTAGGTCCATTTTGAAGCGTTTTCCAATTAATTTGGATATTCATAAAAAACAGAATAATAACATTTATTAAAAAATAGAGTTTCGTTTAATACGTAAACTTTTTTTGTTTAGTTTATGCAGAATGCACAAATGTTGCAAGTTGCAATTGCAATGCAATTGTAATGAATTCGAAGCTTTAAACGTGCAACTGTTGCAATATCACCAATGGCAACAAAGACGGGTGCAATAAAACCTACGACATTGGTGCTTGCAACATAACACGAAGTGGCAACTTTCAATTTGTTTACAACATTTAACCCTGAATGGCGTTGCAGTAAAAGGCAAGCAAGAATAGAATAAAATTGTTGAAAAAGTTATGCAGATTAAATTCCTGTATGGAAAGAGCAAGTGGCATGTGGCACTTGGCATGTGACATGTGGCCAGCAGCTTACCGAATAAAAAGAATATTATTTTACATATATAAAAACGTGCTAAAAAAGGATATACCATGTGAATTTGCTTAAGCGCGTACAGACGACAAAAGTTTTTACTTAAAATGGCGAAAAATTGGAGAGGACGGCAGTAAACTGCCCATTTGTTGGGGCAAAAATATTATCAAACAAAAGATATACAAAAAAAAATTAGTAATATGAACGAATTTATTTATATGCGACTATATATATATTTATATATAACTTTGTGTTTTTATGTGTGTTTGAAATGGCGTGCATATGAGTACAGAATGTTTTTTGTAATTTAAAATAATTCATTTCAAATATATAAACAAACAATAAAGTTTAAAAAAAGACCAACTGTGCCTGCTGAACTAATAAAAAAGCTCAAAAATTTATTTATAAAAAAATCAATTTTAATCGAGTAAACAATTTTCACATCATAAACACAAATGTTAAATAAAACAAGAAGCAAACACAACACAAAAAAAAAAGAAAAAAAACAAAAGCCTATTGTTTACATAAAAAAGGCTTATGTCGAGTGCGCCTCTCTGACAAACAAATATCCGCATCCACTATATGTACGTCGGCTGTGGTTGCTGCCTGCTCGTAAAGCTTTCCTCTTTATGGTGTAAAATTCTGTGAATAAAAGAAACAAAAACAAAAACAAAAAACAAAAAGTCTATGGGGGCTGAGCCCTACACAACACAAAATTTCTTGTGGTCACAGCGTACATGCTGTGCTGTTAAGAAGCATGAAATTATGTGGAGTAGTGCACACAGGCACACAAGCACACGTGCAACCACACAATCACCTAAGCTCACTGAAGCTTCAAAAGAAACAATACATCCACTTGCAACAACAACAACAAGAACAACAACAGAGATGGCATCAGTTCATAATTGAAATTTTAAAAGCACATCTCAAAAACAGGAAGAGCACATCAATGGCGTTATATTTGCACGTGTCGTAAATACTGGAAATTGTAGTGCTTTGTGTTGTAAATGCAATTTCTACCATAGGATGAGGTTAGCTGATAAATATTTTTTATTTTAGAAAAAGAAAAGAAAACTTTTAAACTTTGGTTTTATAAGTAATGTTACCACAAAATATATAAAAAAATCTATTAAGTATTTTTTGTCACTAGTCCAGAGAAACAAGTGCAGGCTATACTCTCTGATCTGATTTCAAGTTATGGAGGCAGCCTGAAAGGCTTCTATTACTATATTAAGAAACCATATTTCACACGCACATACTTTCTAATATAAATAAACTGATTACTTATGTCAGTAAGAGCAACGTTTCGGTTAGGGTCACCGATTAAATAAAAAGTGAGAAAAACCTCCAAATGAGCATTGAAGTTTGTGCAGCCTTGGCTACTTGTGGAAAA